ACAGGAGTGTCACCTGATGAAGGATCAACTTCAAATGACAGAAAAGCGGATGGAGGAGAACAGAGCCAGGTATCGTTATTACAGTTCTTTTTATTTTAACTGGTTAACACAGTATAGTACAATGAATTGTCCCAGCATTTGCAAATAGTACTGTACTTCCCTTGCATGTGGGAAAGGAGAGCCAGTTGCAGATGAACTTTTCAACTATTTGTTGAATGGCAATGGTGAACAGTTGAACACAAACACAGTCGGCACACTTGAGCAAGTGCGCCTCTTGGCATTGCTCATGCCCAGACACTCACATCCAGACTCACAGTCAAATGCAACTGTCAGATATGTGTTGTATTTTCTCTCCGTATGCTTGCATTTTCTTTGTGTTGAAATATTTTAACAATGTTTAAAATGTGCTGTTTAATTAATTTTTTAGAAAGTATCCATATTGAAAATGAATTAGATGGCAAATTTTTACCTAATGCGGGTGGATCTGGAATGTATCCTGACGAAACGGGGGGTTTCTGTGTCAGTGTTTCTGCTCTTCTGTTTATGTTTAAATAACCATTGCAGCTTGATTGTGTTTCAGGAACCAGCAGTTTGAAACAGAGCAGGCTGAACTGCACCAGAAGTTGTCATGCTTACAACAAGAGCTGAGTGTATTAAAGCACCAGTATGACTTGTTGCTGGAGCAAGTGGGCCAACAAAACCATCTCATACAGCAGCTCCAACGGAGCCCCCAAGAAAACTTGAGCCCCGCAGAGCCTGAAGAGGCAGACATGACTGGTGAGTGCAAACAAATGCTAATGTCATAAGGGCTTTTTATTTGAACCATGACACATTGAGATTGACTTATCTGTAATGGTAATTCCAGCGGAGGCAGCAAGCCACATTGATGTTGAAGCCACTGTGGAACCAGCATTAAATTCATTGACAGGAAATGAGGCCAAATTGGAGGAACTGTCAATTCAACCTGATGAGTCCCCCAGGTATGGCAACATTTCATTTGAACTACTCAAAAATACACATTTAGGAGCAATACAATGAATCTTCCTTTAATCTTGTAGTGAAACGGAACAAATCCTTGAGCCGGATGTAATCCAACCAGAGATGATCGAGGAACATGTGGAAGAAGACAGAGATGTATGTATCGAAGTTAGACACCAAATGCAGATAATCGACGGGAAACTATTTGATCAGGTATAAGAGAATTGTTTTTGATTGAGTTCTCCCTTGACCAGGTTGCTGATAAATGTTTTTTTTTTAAATATGATCTGATAAACAAATTGAATTTGGCTGCGAATTTTTAACCCACTTGTAGGTTCAGGAGGAGAGCATTGCCTGCAACGTCCTTGAACATGAAGCCGCTACCTTACACTCAATCAGTGAGTAATGAAATACACACATTTGCTGCTTACATTTTCTGGACATACATAATATGAAGTTCACTGAACCCTTTCTCTATAATCATATATAACTTTCAAGCATTATAAATTTTTACCCTTGTTGAGTTCAAAGTCACATAACTTGTGTGTTGATATTCCGTCCAGCAGGCACAGAACCTGTGCAGTTACAAGACGACCGCAAAGACCTCTCAAAGCGGGAAGAGGAAGTCCGTGCCCTGCTTTCTGAGATTGACCTGCTCACGTCAGACCTAGCACTGAGGAAGGAATTGACCTCAGACCTCCAAGCGCAAGTCCAAAACTTGGAGCAGAAAGTTGATGGGGCGGAAGAGGAAGCACGTTGCGCAGCAAATAAGCTGAACAATGTTTTGAAGGAGAAGAATAGCTTATCTGAGCAGGTGCACAAGAGAACAATGTATTCCTAGTCTAGGAATAGCATTTGTTGTTAAACTGTGATACCAATTCTATGTTTGAATCTAGTTGTCTCAGCTGTCAGATGAAAGAGAAACCTTAACGCTGCAGCTCCAAACAGCTAAATGCCAGCTAGCTGATGTTATGGAAATGTTGGAAGGACTCGAAATGACCAAAGGTAAATTCTTGATTTGTGAAATGGTAACATTGCCAGATATTTCTAGTTCTATAACTCATTAACAAGCATGTATGTCCCGAACAGCGATTGAGTTACAGTGCGTTATCTTTTTTTGCTGTGTAGGTGGGTGGGACGAGAAGTTCCTCCAGCAGGAAAGCGAGCTGAAGAGGGTTCGCTCCGAGAAAGCCAATCTGGAGCAACACATCCTAGACTTGGAGTGTGAGCTGGAGGCCCTGCAGGAGGAGCGCCGCAAGCTGGGGAATGAGCTCGAAACTCAGAAGAGGACTTGCTCGGGCTTGGAGCAGCAAATCGAAACGCTCACCTCTGAGGTGGGCATTCATTCACCGCTCAAACGTCAGCATACAAGATATTTACAGCATTGCAAATCATTATAATCAAGCCGGGCAAATTCGCCCATTTGTGAGATTTTGGGAGGGATACCCATCTTTATATTTTATTTGCTAATAAACTCAACTATTCACTTTTTTTTTTTGCTGCACTGAGATTGAAGTGAACCAATAGGAGTGTTTCTTTGTCACCATCTTTTGGACTTTTGTTGCAAAGTAACTATATTGAAGTGAGTTGAGCAGTGTCATGTAGTGCTTTGCCTCCATCTTAATATTGTCTTGGTGCAAAGGAAGTATTTTGATACCATCTTTTGGCATCTTCATGCTAAGGAACTATGTTGAAGTGAGTTGAAGAACTTTGTTGTTCTTTGTTGCCATCTTGTGACATCTATTGGCAAATGCTCACGTTTGGCGGGGGTTAGGGGGGAGTAGTTCCTCACAGATTTTTGCAATCCGTTGCAAAACTTGGTCCTTACCCGCTGCTAATAGTGGGGATTCACTGTAGTAAAGTGTTTATCTCTCTTTTTACATCTAAAAAATGAATACATTAAACCCTGGTTATGTTTCCAGTATAAAAGTATTAAAGTATAAACCCACAACTCCTGAATGTCCACTTGAAATGCGCCTTCTACAATTTCAGCCTAAAATCCTACATTCTTGTTGACACAAACACGATGAATAAATTATAAACTAATTTCACAGTCAGTGCAAAACCAGTGAACATATTATTAAGGCTATGATGATGAATCAGCTGCACAATATGATGCAATTACGGGACACGAGAGCAGCAAAGGTTTACTGTATTTAATGTCGTTCTTGTACAGTGGATCGTGTACCATATGCTGTTTTCTTTTTAAGACAATCCAGCTACGATCCGAACTGGTTTCCTGCGCCGAAGAACGAGAGGAGCTGAGTCAGGCTGTTGGTCAATTGCGAGAGATACTACACGGGATGGAGACCACCGACCGTGACACCAGGTCTTACATATCCATTCTGCAGAATGACATCCGAGATGCAAACAGGGAGAACGAAGCCCTGCAAGGCAGCATAGACAAAATGAAGGCGGAGAGGCAACAGGTACACAAATAACTATTGTGTTTGAATAAGCTTGTCCAAATCACAAAGGACGTCAATCTCATTGACCTGATGCTGTGATGCTATGACAATATTTTTTTTTTCTGTCTCAAGCTGTTGGAGCAGATGAATGTGTTGGAGGAAGCCATGTCTCAGCAGACTGAAGAGAAGGAACAATTGATTGGGCAGCTTGACAAGATTAAGGAAGCTCACACGTCTGCCAGTCAAAACACAGAGACCATGTTCAGCAAAATCCAGGTGGAGATGAAGAGTGATGAAAGCGTGTCACTAAATGTAGCCTTTCAAAATGATACGATAATTCCTCTCTGTTTCTTTGCCAAGGCTTTGGAGGGACAAGTGCGACAGCTGACGCAATCTTTGGAGTCTTCCCTACTTGAAAAAGGTGAAATCGCTTCTCGACTGAACTCCACAAAGGACGAGGTCCAGCAGATGCGCACCGGCATCGAAAAGCTCCGTGCCCGCATCGAATCTGACGAGAGGAAGAAGCAGCATGTGGGCGAACTCCTCAGAGGTAACTTCTACCCATCTTTTTGCAGCGTTGTTACACTTCTCAATATTGTTAGTGTCCTGACCAGGAATATGTGTGTCTGTAGCCGCTCAGAGGAAGTCTGACTCACTGCAAGACCGCATTGACGCTCTACACCGAGAGAAGGAGGATGCAGAGCAAGACCTTGAGGAAGCTGTCCTTCAGGTACTCACAGACATACCTGGAAGAACATAAATGCTCAAAGACAAAGTTTGTGACACAATGTTGTACCGCTTACCCTTGACTTGCAATCTGATACAGACTGAGACCCTCAAAGCTGAGCTGGAAGAGGAAAGGATCAAGGTACAGTATGTACTGGACATTCATGTGAAACTGTGTCATTACCTGATGTCGTATTCACCAAACATAGCAACGTACACTCATTGGCCACATTGTGTACCTCACACAAACCAATAAGATCCAATAAAATGTTATTTATACATTAAAAAAAAGTTACTGTGTTTTGTTTATTTGGTCCTTCTGAGAAATTAAGCGCCTTTTTGGGGACATACACAAGCCTGATTTCTCACCAATTCATTTGAGCATCTTGCCATGTCCTGAACCCGATGCCCCAAAAATTCACTCAGGAGCTCCTTCCCAATAATCAGCCCCCCCAAACCAGTTTCACAACCCCTCCCAGAAATTGAACAGGAAGTCGGTCATTTAGGTATGAGGCAGCGCTGATGGCCAAATTCCAGGGTTTACAAACTCCGATTAGGGAATAAACCACAACAGACCCTAATTGCAAGTACCGGTCATCATCTGAGAACAAGCGTAATACAAAGTGTGCTGTTTTTTTGTTTTGTTTGTTTTTACCTGATTCGCTTATTGTCTCTGGCCCCCAGGTGGATGAAGAGAAGAGAGGTCTTAGTGAAGAGCTCCTGAAGCTTTCTGCCACTCTGGACAGCTTGAGATCTGAGAAGGAGGCTCTGGAGCGAGAGCTGCAGATGAAAAACGAAGAGCTGGAGGAACTGAAGGCTACCAAGGAGGAATTGGAGCGAGGCCTGAAGAGGGCAGAGATGGATCATAGAGAAGAGGAGGAAAGGCAGAGGTGCAAGGTGGAGGAGTTGGAGAGGCAGATGAGGGAGGAGGCGGGGAAACAGACGAGGCTGGTGGATGACCTCCAAGTGCAGCTTGAAGCGTCTCATCAACGAGAGCTGTCTTTTGAAGAAAAGAGCACAGAAATGGAGAGGGAGCGAGAGAGAATGAAGAGCCTCCTGGAGAAGCTGGAGGAAGAGAAACAACATCTGCAGGAGTCGCTGCAGGAGTGGAAGATGCATGGAGAGGAGTGGGAAAGACAAAAAAACAATCTGACGACTTGCATTGAGGGTTTGGAAGAAGACATTGTAAAGGCCAAACAGACGGATGATAAAAAAGAGCTAGAAGGAGAAAATAGACGACTGCGAGACGAAAAACAAAGACTAGAGCAGGAGAATGAGAAGCTCCATTCTAGCAAGGAGGAGAACATTGCCCTGAAGCAGGAGAGAGACAGAGTAGAGGAGGACAGACACAGGCTGGAGGGCGAGATGAAGACGCTTCAAACGGCCTTGTCGCTTGTGGAAGAAGAGAAGAATAGTTTGTCCTTAGTTCTTTCTGCGCTGGAACAAGAGAAGCAAAGAGCTGCAGACGAAAAGGAGAAACTGTCGGAGGAGCAACAGAAGCTTCAGTCCACGGTTGTCTCCCTGGAGGAGAAGCTGGAAACACAGCAGCTGTCTGTCTCCAAACTCAACGAGCAAGTACGCACACCTACCGTCCCCAATTTAAAATGTCTGTAATGATACAAAATGAATAAATGCACATTTATAGAAGCAAAAAACACAAAATGCAAACCCGTCCAATACGAATGGTGGTTTGAATTCCCCCCCTTAATTCCTGCAACTCCTTTTTTCCCCGTCCAGGTGTCTGAGCTGTCGACTCGTGTCGCTCACGTGTCCAAAGAGAGAGACGCCACCCAAAACAAGTTGAGACTTTGGATGAAGACTTGCAAACAGCTGGAGCAAGAGAAGATGCTCCTACTGAGCAGCTCAGGTTGGTTTACTTGACACTCGGGCTGCCACACACGATTATTTTGCCAGTCGAATAATCACCATCAGTCGTCGCGATTTGGCAACTAATCGTATCATATATAAATCCCAGCATATCGCACCACCAAACAGCTCCTCTTATGTACCCTTTATTAACTTACAGCTTCAATTCTTTAAGGTTTGTCCCAATTAATAATGAAGTCAACCATACATTCAGCTTTGCTTCATCTTTGCAGCTTGTATAAGCATTCCTGACATGTTTATACATGATAGAAGCGATGCCTTGGCCTTTAAATTCCTTTAGCTGAATATGTTAGGCGCATTTTAAAATGGAACCCCAAAAAAAATCATTCAACGCAGAGTTGCACTTATACTGTTAAACAATAAATACAAAAAGTAATAGAGTACAGTATAGCACTTATTTGGTTTTGTTTTGAATTAGCCTTTATCCACAACCTTTTCCTTTAATTTAAAAGCGGTAAATTGATCCGCTAATGCTAGCTTCCAGACAAAACTGACTGTATGTCAGAAATAAAAGCAGGCATTAGCCACACCATGTTTCCTTTGTCGACGCTCGTTTATCACCGCTGTGCTGCCATAAAAGGGACATTTGCAGCATATGATTTTTGGTTAAATGCGCCCAACCCTTCCCCCTTATTAAAACACATGTATTTAAACACAAAAAAAGTGCAAGCATCAAGTGTACATACTGAATTTTATTGTTAAGTGCTGTGTGCGCTGAACTCCCCTAGATGGCTGTAATGCCCAAGGTATGGAGTTCTATAGCTCTTTAATGGTCAGAAGAACCAGAAACCTTTACCACCTCACGCGTACGAAGCAAGCATTATGATAGACGTAGGGCCAGATATGCCTGATTTTCAAAATAATACTTTTTTTCAGACTCCGATGAGCCAAAAAAATCTATAAATACTTTTTTCGGTCTTTCTGTTAAGTCCTGTACAAAATGTTCCATGGAACAGTACCAATTGGTAACACTATATTTATAATAACGTAGAAATATGTCAAACCTCATGACTAACGATCACTATAAATGAAAAAAATCCAATGCATTTTGAAAATGGACCTGCTTCCCCCCCCCCCAGATGGTCTGTGCAGTGAAGCTTCACAGGTGGAGGATAAGCAGCTGCAAATTCAAGCAGAGGAGAGGAAGAAGGAGGTAGAGGAGCTGAAGTCATCCCTTAAGGAGGCGAGAGCGGAGTGTAAAGAAAGATGCAAAGAGGTGGAGGAGCTCAAGGCGGCCCTGGACGCTCGCAGCAGAGCTCTGGAGGAGGTCAAAGGGGAACTCAAAGAAGTCGAGCAGCTGGTGGAGGAGAAGACGAAAGAAGTGGACGACACCATGAACAAATACTGCAGCTTGATGCTGGAGGTGCACAAGCTGGAGGTGGCCAATGAAACCCTGACGACGAGGCTGGAGTATTTGATCGCGAGCAAACCCGCCAACAAAGACAACCTCAACCACTCCGGGACCGCTGACGGCCGCAGACGCTCGACGAGGTCCTCTACCAAAAAACTGGATGTCCAAACAGAAAACTCTGCTCGTTCGACTCCGCAGAAATCACCACCGGGCTCCTCACCCGGGAAGAGGGGTCATAAACATATGAGCAATAAGGACAGCGCCCAGGAGGCTCTTCACAACCTCACCAAGAAGATCAGAGCCAACGCTGTGACCACGCCAAAACAGACTACCGAACAGGAGGACGAGTTCAGGCCCGAGGGGCTTCCAGAGCTGGTACAGAGAGGTATGAATGCCCTGCGCCTTTCGCATCATGCACTTGAACATCCGTAGATGTAGTGGAGTCACGATTTGTTTCTGTTAGGCTTTGCTGACATCCCGCTGGGTGAGGCCAGCCCCTTCATCATGAGGAGAACCACTGCGAGACGCTGCAGCCCTCGACTGACTGCCAGGCAGACATTAGACAGCAAGGTAAGCACAAACACAACTGAGTCACCAAAGAGTATTGTGAGGTTAATATGACACATATTGTCATGTAAGGGTAGGGTTGGGTGATTTATTTTAATTTCCATTAATCAGCAGACAACCTATGCAAAATCCTTTTCACATTGTTTTCTGTATGCAAAAAAAAAAAAGAGTCCGGAAGGCAATCAGAGTTAATGGCGCTGAATATCGCCAAAGACATGGTGCATATTTATACTTCCACCTGTCAGCGAGTGAGGCTGAGTGATACCACGTACCGTTTACATACTTGTTTTATTACAGTGTCATTTTTTTTCTTCACAAGGATACATTACTTATGAGCTTTTGTAAAAAAAAATAAATAAAAAATAAAATTATAAGCAAAGGGAAATTAATTAATCAATTAAAGCTGTAAATGGAATGGAAATGCGGGTGGGGGGCTAGATTGAGATGTTATACTCAGGTCATAGCTCTCAGCCCCACGCGAAGGCTTCATTGTCATGGGTGTGGGACAGCGGTGTGAAATTATCACTGGACACTGATTTATAGTATCTGACTCTGGTTTCTGTTCAAAAGGCAAGAGCAGATAAATGTCCGATTTTCTGTGACGCCTCTGTTAGTTTTGGGGGATCTTGGCATCCACTAGGACCTCCCGCATTCGAGTCACCTCAATTGGAGATTGTGAAGTCTTCGAATATTTCTCTCAAAATGTCCACCCCGCTTTCTTTCCTGTACCTGCTCTTTCATATTGTTGTTGTTTTTTTTTCATCACCAGGTGCCTCCTTCCTCGACTGACAAGTGTGAAGAAGTGGTCGCTCCTCGTTCGCACGAGTCACCAGAGCAAGGGGACAACTGTCATGTTCAGTAAACCCAAACACACAGCACTGTGGTCTCGGACGACATTTACAGTTAATTACACTATACTTCTTTGAACACCATTTTAGTCGTTCAAGTCAATCCTTACAGTTATCATGCACCATTTATTTTACGTAATTTCTAAGTGGTTCAATGCAGGTGATAATATGAAAAGCAGCACTCGGGACACAATAGACCTTATTTGCAACATATCAGTAACAGCTAGCATGACAACTTCCGCAAGTGAAAACAACATTCCGAATTCCTCTGGCGGTATTTAAATCAGTTTCTCAAATTCACATTGTTACATTGTTTTTGTCTTGCACTGTATATATTTCATTGTCCACTAAGCCGTGTTTTCAGCCTGTGTTCCTTTTACTGCATGCTGTAGATAATGTTAACTCCAGCAATGAGTCCTGTGTTCCAGGATCTTCTTTCCTTCTAACGCCAGCTACCTTTTCATGTCCTTTTTTTTTTTTTTTTTTTTTTTTTTTGGTGCTTGGACTGCTTCACCTTCTGATATTTTTATAGCTTGGTATCTTTTGTTTTTCTAATTACAGTTTGAGCATATTCAAGCATTTTATGACGGGAAGTTGCTTATAGTTAATGTGCAGGTGTAGGAGGTTACTGGTTATTGTGAATACTTGTTATTTCTCACTAAACTTTTTTAAACAACCTTAAAGCGTGTGTAGTCTGTCTTGAGCAAAGCCTTTCTGCTAAATCAGTTTTTTTTTCTTTTGTTTTGTTTTGTTTTTTTAATTTAGCATGACTAATTGTGAATGGGGATCCTGTTAGCATAATTCTGTGGTGCGTCACCACACTAAACTGACACAAAGTCAACACTTGACTGGTCCAAACAGTTCAGGCTCAATGTGTGGTGTTTGCACACTTGAGTCAGGCGTCACTCGTTCATCTTTCTTTTGTGAGTCGACCTTTACGATGTCCCAACCACAATTCACTGTTGATACAAAATTGCGTCCCAAACGGTTCCATGCAGGTAAAACAACTATACTTCCCCTTTAATAAAGTGTGATAGTCATGTGCTTATCTATTATCTATGTATGTGGCTAATTAGCAATGAGTAATTGTTCTGTTTATAACTTCATTGTTTTGCACCCATACTCTTACTAAACGCAATTAAGAGTCAGCTGCTGTGGTCTTTTTTAGGCAGCAGTTTTGCATTTTTATAGTGACCTATGGTATTCTTAAGAATGGGGGAGGGGAGGATTCGCAAACGTAATGCAGATGTGCCACATTGCACCCTTAGAAGTGGAGGAAAAAAAAGATTTATTTTTCAAGTTAGACTGAGAATTTTTGAAGGCCAGACAAAAGCCTGGGATTTTTAAGTCGGCACAAGACAAAACATTTGCCTTGAATCATTCTTCTGGCCGACAACATGAAAGATTTTAAATCAGGCATTCAGAGGGGAAGAGCTTGCTTCTCCATATCTGTTGCATTGTCCTCCAATATTTCAATCGATCAATCACGATTTTAACTCTGGTTGAATTTGCCTCTCTACATCGTTTTTTTTTTTTTTTTTTTTTAATGTGATGTCATAGGCGGAAATTGTACAAAGTAACAAGCCTCTTTTTACAAAGGTGCAGAAAATGCAAACATGTTTATTTTCAGATGTAGGGAGTAAAAGAAAAATAAGTTGCCAGCAGATATCTGTAAAATCGACTAAAGTACAATCACCAACTCTTTGCTCTGAAAGTCACACCACTAGGCCTATTTTGACTTGGAAGGGAGAGAAAAGGATCAAAATAGGCGTAACTATTGATATGTGCATAATTGGAAGGCCTCTTGTGTTTTTTGTTGTTGGGGTTTTTTTTTTTTGTTGTTGCTGTTGTTGTTTTGTTAGTTGTTTTTTTTTTTATGTGGGTCGAGTTTCATGATGCAGACGGCTTCTGATCAATGTCCATTGATCTTTTCTGCTTATAGACATTAAGGTTATTGATGTGTCAGATGAGGTCAGCTTGACCTCATGACCGCTTGAAGCCAATCTCGGCAACGCACGGTTAAAGCACTCGGGCGGTTGAAAGCACCTGAGAGCAGTGCATTGTGGGTTATGGGAACGGAGAGAGCCGGATGAGCCTTCCACACACCCCTCAGAGGGGATACTGTTGACGGAAGCCGCGGTGCCAGAACCAACTGTGGCCTAGCACACGGGAAAAGTGGGGCCATGTTATGACTGGCACCGACTGCCGAACGTGTTTGTGTTTGTGTATGTGTGAGTGTGTCTGCAGGCTGGATGGAGAGAGCGACCGACTGTCCCAACCCTGGGCTCTATGCATGAATTGAGCCATTCTCTGGCTGGCAACGCTGTATAAGCAGCAGCCAGTGTCAGGAAGTGACACCAGGCTGCAGAAAGAACACTTGATCTCCTGCTAGAACATTTGATTTACCTTAAAACAACACCGTGGTGACATTACTGTATGAGTGTGACTCCTATTTGCCCAATTTAATAAATTAATTCCTGCTGAGTCCGTCGCACGACAATCGCAAGTGACATGTAACAGGGTGTAAGAGCCTTATTGAGCCAAGGCACCTATTTTACTTCATAAAAAAAATATATGCTCATACTTTTAAATAAGAGAGAGCTTTAGGCCCAAGCCCAAAAGGCAGCCAATGCATAACTTTATTTATTTATTTTTAAGGTAAGAGCGGAGAACAGTTTTCAAAAAGAGTTACGTGAAGAGGTAACTTTTTGAGTAGCCAATATACAATAATTGTGTTTGGGTGGGTAGGGGGTTGGGGGGGGGTATTTCCTCGTTAGCTCAAGTTATCTTTGGAGGAGTTTTTTTTGTTTTTGTTTACTTTTTTGTCAAGCTACCCCACTGGTGACAAAGTCTCAAGAGATTATCTGTGCATCGACCTTAACGTCATTAACTCATATTGACCGGGGGGTGTCCGCATGGCTGCAAACAATTGCACACGCAGCAATTGAGCCATTCTTCCTTAACCAGACTGCAGGCGTTTTCCTTTCTTCCTTTAAATAACAGCAAAGAGCTGACTCCGCATTTAAGGAACCCAAAATAGGCAAATGGTCATAAAGAAAGCTCAGTAAAAGCCTCTGGATGTTTTACATCATCTGATTTGTGTAGTTATTATGTTTGCAAACATTTAACCCGCCTGAGGGACATCCCATTCAAAGACTTGTGTTGGAAGGACAAAAAACTGCATGCAGTAATCTTGCTCGGTTTTAAGGATTGCTGCATGTTGCGGAAAGAATGTAACCTGCAAATTTGTTTAATTTATCTAAAGTTAAGCTAAAAACATAATTTAAAAGATAAGTGATGGGTTGAAGACTCCTGCATGTAAAACTGAAAAGATTTGACTCTGTTGTCTGACTCATATACCAAATTATACTCACCTAAACTAATACAATCAGGTTAGACAAACTTTAATAACATCGCTGGAAAGGATGACAGCAAACATGGCAAGAGCTGAACTAAAGTATATTTTCTACTCGTACAAACATATTTACACTCTAAAAGACATTCATGTGGCATTCACCAGTAGTAGAAATATGCTTTTAAAAAAAACACGCAGTGTAGAAAAATACACAAAATTCATCAGCTCGTCATAAAACACATATTGGGCACATGTGGCGCAAAAAAAAAAATAGCATTGGTTTCATTTTTGCACAGCAATAGAAGCAGGATACCCAAAATTTAACCCTCCCATTGCAAAAACATTGCAGTAAGATTCCAACCAGCATGTTAGTACCCCAACTAAAAGAGCCTGGGTTATGAAATTCACCATTCATCAAACTTTGCATTCAAATTCTTTCCTGACAGATGCGTCAGTCCAAAGAAGAAGAAACATAAATACAAATCTCCCCTTTCTCTTTTGGTCATGTGCGCAAGTGTGAGTGTTCATTTTAGCACCATAGTCCATCATAACTCGGCAGAGAAGTATTCGGGGACAATACGTAAACGCTATACATATCTTTGGCGTTGGAGAAAATAATTGTACCAGCAAAGCCCTCATTTTTCAGGAAATCCCCAAAACCGCGTGTTTGTTCTACCATGAACCCTTTCAGGGACAGCGTTTACTACGCGGATAGCTTATCGTGTTATCAGGTTACAGGGTGCATGAAAGGGTTAACATTACATCATCAAACAGCACGATCAATTTTCGACACTTTGGATTGGTTAAAAAATGTGTAAAAAATTCCACCCACACCTGTGGACTGACCAATAATTGACCAAATTGTGACGCTTTGGCCAGTGATATGCAATATATAATTTTATGAATAAGAAAATACTAGAAGGATACGGCTCTAATATTAAAAAGTGGTAATAGTTTAAAAAAAAGCAGCAGAATGTTTTGAAATAAACTTATAATACTGTGTGAGAAAAAAATGTACAGCTGTAATTTGGCGTGAATTTTTTTTTTTAATCTGGAAAAACAAAAAAATTGTGAATAAAGTCTGCATGATTAAAAATCCCAAACTAAATTAAAATTGTCAAATTTTACATGGAGGAGAAAAAAAAGTCACAATATAAAGAAAACAAACATCACAATATTATGAGCGTCAACATTCTTCCGACATTTGTCTGCTAAACTTCCAACTTAGTAAAAAAAAACTTTTTCGACATTCAGCGGGGCCGTAATATTCCTTCATACAGTTATAAATTGTAAAACATAAAAGCATCAACCTTATTCATAACAAGCCTTTTAGTTTCTTGGCGTTTCACGGGCATACTTGCGCGCAGGAGAAAACTGACTGATTGTTATTGTAACATTGCACACTGACAATAGTGTGTTAAACTGTAAATCAGAAACTTAAATAATAGTAACAGGATGGACTGCATAGCCGCGCAAACTGTAGCATGCGGTTACGTGCTAATGCTGTAAAAAAAAAAAAAATCAAAGTGCATTTTCAACTGCAGGTGGAGGAGGAGGCCTCCCATTTGTGTGTCTGTGAGCCCGTAGTGTGACACCAGCTCAGGATGATTAAAGTCAGCGGTGGGGAAGTCCTCCGAGCACAAACCGACAAATTATGACCATTTGTGGGTTAAATATCTTCACGTTTGTTTGTTGTTGGGTTTTTTTTTTCCCCACAACGCTACGTTGGGATGGATCTGAGCTTCCCCATCCCCTGGATCGAGATCTCATTTGCTGCCATCAAAACGATTGATGCTAACAGTGCATATTTGACACATCATCCTCTCGCGACAAAGTAGAAGTAGAATGGTTTGAGGTTGAGTTTTCGTCCAGTCAACATTTCAACATTCGCATAGAACTGCATTCCGTTTTTCATATTCATATGGGAAAAAAAAAAAAAGTCAGCCTGGAAGCAAATACTGTCGAGTGATCGATGCACTTCACGTTTCGGACTATCCTGGAAGTATTCCAAGTCAAGTGTACACATCCCTGTTAAGGTACCTTACTTTCGAACCAGAGCCCAGACCTAAATCCTCATTTAACGTTCAAGGTTATGTGTAATGAAGAGTGAGTTCAGAATATCAAGTCAAGCTGTGCCACGCTGATTGTTTATGAAGATTGGCATCTTTTTCTCTTGAATGGTTTATGGTGTCGGCCACAGCAGGGCGCCACAGTGGTTAGCAGGTTTGCCTCACTGTTCTAGGGTGAGACTCGGGGTTCATGGGAAAGTACTGACTGCTTCCTTCCACGTTCCAAAAGCATGCATGTTAAGGCCATTGGAAATTGTGAATGTGAGCTTTAATGCCTCTTTGTCTATATGTGCCCTGTGATTGGACTGGCAATCAGAAAAGGGTGCACAAAGTCATCTGAGTCGACTCCACCTCACCCACTGCCCTCATGAGGACAAATATGATAGTAAATGGATGGATGGAAAGATCATCTAGAAAAAATCAATAAAAAAAAAAAATCTCCCCTGCAAAAGGATCCACCGGACCCAAAAAGTTTGAGAAACTCTATTCTAATCAAGCATACATAAATTGGGGGGAAAAAAAGGTGTGAATTTGAACTCCTTAACAGGCTTGTGTCGACTTTCCACATGAACTGGAATGAACACTGGAACAGCTGTGAGTGGCTCAAATGGGAAATACAAAGATACGTTTTTTTGTTTGGTTTTGTTTTTTTTTTTGCTTCGCACAAAGGTCAACCTCTGAGGCTTGTGCTTGACATTTCAGCAAAATGAACAACTTTAAGGCACTGTGACGCTTTAATTACTTGTCCAAGTTGCCTCATGCGTGTTCCGCAGTCTCTTTTCCACCTCAGCGGAGAGAATGATAATGAATATCAGTCCGGGGTGTGTTGGCATGACAACAAAATCCAAAAAGGTTATTGCACCTTGTTATTCTGAAATTGTGACTGCATCCAAAACTGTCTTTATGATTATGACAGTCTACAGCTGTTAGTGACAATAACACCTATAGAAAAAGCATTCGCCAAACTCAAAATTATCGCAGTCCCGTCCACCCCCCCCAAAAAAAAAAACAACCATAAAATCTCCAAATTGTTCAAGGTCATCTTTCTGTTTCAAACTACCTTCCAACTGCTGTTCAGAAGCAAATTAAGGCATTGGTTCTCAAACTGGGTCCCCGGATCCCCGGGGCTCAGCAAGTTGTAGCTTTGGGGCCCATCAACAATTTCTTTCATAGAATATGTTATGTCATTCAAAGAAGTGCAGACATATGGTGGCCGGTGCGCCGATCCTATCTTTAAGTCAATTGAAAAAAAGCTAATATGATGGTGACCCATCAACACATAAATCTGATATCCTTACGTGAATACTCATCAAAAGGCGTTTAGGTGCATGATTACATTAATAGTCCTATTTTTCACAAACAGGCATAATATTATGAGAATAAAGTTTATCACTTTCCTCCTTTGCAAAACCTTGACTTCACTCCCCCTGAGATTACAATCAAAAAATAATAAAACAACAAAAAACAAACCCTTGTCGCCATATTTGTTAAAACTGTCAGTAAGACCTGACAGTATAGTACATGAGTAAAATTATTTGTGGAAAAAAAAAATCACTCCCTCTTGTGCCTAACCCCCACTAACAGACAGAATGCTTGACTAACAAGGTATCAAACGTTTGTCATTCACTCGCAAGCGCCTTCACCCCAACCCACCACCAGCACAGCCAAATGCTGACCTGTTCCCAAGGCTTTCGGGAGCTTTGCTGAAACTATGACCGAATGTCCACCTCTTGACAAAAACAACAACAAAAATAAACGAACATTGGGCAGAAGACGAGGAAACAGAAGAAGACTACAGGCACCTAAGATTCAGAAGCAATACGGAATTAGCAATTAGCTCGACAGTTACATTTCTTACCTTTTTGATATTTAATTGATTGTATATTCCCAAAAATAAAACTTAAAACGATAACTATGTGTAAAAATAACACTCAATTACAAATAAACCATTCTAACACGAAGCAGGCGTGGCTTACATTGGCTGTTAAAAGTGCTAATGCTAGCTTAGTATGGCTACAGCTGCTATTTTGGTGACGCTGTGCGACGCACTTTCATAATCGCTTGCCATGATGAACGGCCATGTTTAAGAATCGTGCTTGTGCACGTTAGTTAAGTGTGAGGCCTCGGTCAGAATCGAGCATGTAGTGAAATGAGGCTACATTCAAATCTTGCTAGCAGTTATAACAATACTAAGTCCCACTTTGATATCATAATATTACGACTTTTGCTAGGAGGGAAATATCCTTATTCTATTACCCCTCTCGAAATGTTTCCCCCCTTAAAATAGGCCATTTAAAAAAAATTCTTAAAGCATTTAGGGGCACATATAGTCGTTAAATTGGCTTTTTTTTCTTCTTGGAAAGATTACAACTTTTTTATGACAACTGAGCAACTCTTTAAAAATAGAAATTTGTTATTGTTACGTACCAACTTTTTTTTCTCTCGAATGAGCAACTATTATGTATTCAGGCATTGAGAGGGTATACATGGTAGTTATGCTTAATTGGTGTGAAAATTATGAGGAGGTCCCAGGACCCAAATAGTTTGAGAACTATGGAGCACGTATGAACAAACTGTTAACATTTGCTCCTGTTTGAATATTTAGTGGTTGCTCCCATTGTTGATTGACATTTAAACTCCCAGACCTCTCCCAGAAAAGCTGGAAATCTTTACGGAGAACAAGGATGTCCACCATGGTTAAGAAATCCATTTTCCAAGATTTTCGAGCAGGTCACGATATAACAAACTGCCCTTCACTTAACATGTTCAATAATGGCCATATCGCCTCTTTCCAGGTCCAGACCGTTCATAAATAAGCCACAGTTCCGGTTTAGCTGAGGCGTCAGCCCCGGTAGCCCCGCCTCCTTGTCGCTCTTCTCCCGCTCCTCGCTGTGATTGGCTGATACCGTCCTTCGTGGCAGCCCAAATTCTGCGGCGGGGCTGAAACCAAGCTCGGACGACAGTTTACGTTTAATGGAAGCGGCCCGCTGGAATTTGTCGTAGATTTCCACACTCACTCGTCGGCGCGTTTCCTTCAGTTCTGCTGACACGTTGGCCGTCCATTCGGCTGCGTGGGCGCGGATCTCTCCCACCTATGGAGAAGATAGCTGCAGTCACAGGTTCAGTGAACAAAAACGCAGCGCGCCTTACTCACAGTCAATGTCCATCGGTGCTTAGAAAACAATTCCGTCCTCACCGAGGAATTCATAAATTCGTTTTCATTTAAGAAAACCTCAGCCGGTTTCGAAATAGCTGCAGGGGGCACTATCACTATAAATTCAATTTTATCCAATCAGAAGCCTCAGAATAATTTCGGAGGAAAAAATACAATAAATGTAAAAATAGTGATTCATATTTTGGAGAATGATTGTGAATTGGAGTGATTCTTGATTCAATAACACAGTATCATAAAACACAATAAGCAAAAAAAAAGTGAAAAAAAGTTTTTAGCTTAATAACCTCACTGCTACCAATCTAAATCTAAAGTGGATCAATTTATGGTAAAATATGAATTCAAGACAACAACTTTATGCGTTTTTCTGCCATTCTGGCTCCTGTGAAAAGTGTTTCCCTTCCGGAGAAAATTGCACTCATTTGCATAAGTTGTGTTATATTTAGAGCAGCAATGAGTCAAGATGCATGTCCAGATGAGACTATGGTCATGCTTTATGCAAACTCTCTGGAGAGACTCACACTAATAACCTGCAGGTGTATTTCGGTTGCATAAAGTCAATTGGATCAGAGAAGCATTTCATCATTGAAACCAAGTTAGGAGGGTGACAAAAGTCTGCTGGGACCTGGAGCCGCGCTTGGAAATGAACAAGTGCTCATGTACAGTAAATGTCACTACACTGAGAAGAGTCTGTATCATATTACATAATATTCTATATCAGTGGTGGAGAAAGTTGCATGTACGTGGCACGCACTTTAATCTGACTACTGAGTACAGTATTTACTTGGTCAAAGAATGCTGACTTATTTTGTCCCCCAGTCAGTGGTTCTCAAAATTTTACACCAAATATCACCGTTATGGGCAACTCCAAGATTAAAACAGTCAAAAAATCCAGAGGCCAAGATTTGAGTCCTAAAATGAAAAATTACCATACTTTAAGTTAAATACAACTGACATGCACTGTGCATGAAAATGTAATTATTTTTCTTTTTTATAGCTAATCTAAAATTGAAATTTGAAAATTGAAAAATCAAGTGTCGGCCTTGAGCACAAAATGTTTCCTTGTCGTATTATACTGGATGATATGCAATACATGATGATTTCCAATACAAGGTTAGAAAGAAAGGTGTTCATTTCGCAATACATGATGTTATTACTATGGTTGTGGTCTGAAGTGGTTTGCATTGGTGCTGTGTCCTACTGAGAACCCTTTATCATGCATTGCTTTCTTTGACTGTACCTAATTATGAACCAAGTTGTTGCCAGTGGGTGCATATCATCCATCCATCCATCCATCCATCCTTTTTAGTGCTTATTAAGATGCCAGGTGAGCTGGAGCCTATCCCAGCTGACTTTAAGCGAGAGGAAGGAGTAAACCCTGAACTGGATCCCAGCCAATCTCAGCGCCTCTTCTGACAAACAACCATTCACACTCACATTCACACTTAAAGATTATGTCAAGTCTTCAATTAACCTAAAATGCATGTTTTTTGGGAATACGATAGTAGAAAACCAATTCAAATGTTGGGAAAACATGCAAACTCCACACAGGAGGGGCCTCAGGTGAGATTCGAACCCTGAACCCAAGAAATGTGAGGCGGACCACTATATCCTGTACAGCACATGTATTACTATGTGTTGACAATAATGTAATCTAATAATAACTAAACCTCTTCTTTGGTCCTCCTCGAAATGACTCTTAACCAGTCTCCAATCATGCTGAGGATGGCGGCAAAGTAGGCCAGTCCAACCAAAATCCAGAACCAAACTACTGGTTTGTAGTAGTCCAAGTACTCGATTTCTGACCCCCCTGGAAGCAGAGGTAGAAGCATTCACAGAATCACACATGAGCCAAGCACAAAGTCACTTTTTTTCTTGTCCTTGTTGTTTTGAACTCGTTTTACCTGCAACAAAGTCCCCAAAGCCGATGGTGGTCAAAGTGATGACCACAAAGTAAAGCGACTCCAGCGCTGACCAGCCCTCGATGTGTTGAAAGATGGCTGCCGGGAGCGCCACGAACAGCAAGCAGCCAAAGAGCACAAACAGCAATGTAGATATGACCCGGATCTTCGTCTGACTGATGTCCCAGTGCTGCACGGACCGCACACGAGGTGAGCACAAGCACACGTTATCCAACAGCTGATGGCATTTAATTCATTTTACAGAGCACGGGACGCAACATTGGGGACAGCTGTTTCACTCCGTTCTTGAATCCAGCCCATTGATTATATAATTTATCCACACTCAGAAAACTTTAATCAGTGTCTTCCTTAAAAAAATAAAAATTAATAAAGTCAAAAAAGTGACACCTAATATAATTTAATAGATTTGACCTACTCCAACTTTGATTTAAAAAATGTAATTTAGCAAATTAACTCTTAAAAACAAAATAATGAAATCAATGGTTGAAATATTTTACTACCGGTAATCAATTTTACAGCAATAACTGATAAACATTTACTAAGTACCTGGAAAAAAAATATGAGAGACTACATCTGATTGATTTAAGTGGAATTTATTTATATCTCATGATAATCTTGATGACACTGATTAAAGCCATTTTTTTTTCTTCATTGTTGACTTTGCTCATAAACTATAATTTACAATTTATGCAATGATTTTCAGGTGATATTACTCAAACAAAAATAAGTTAAATGCAACTAACAAATTATTCAAATATGATTAAATCAACCTGTTATATCAAATTCCTAATATCAATTTAGAGTTGGTATGACAGAATGCATTGTCAAGAGTCTTGTAATATGTGATGCATTTGTCAAGACATTTTTTCCTAAATGTGGTTAATTAAAATGTAGTTACACTTTAATGATGTTTTACTAAGGCGGCGCGGTGTGCGAGTGGTTAGCCTCACAGTGCCGAGGTGCAGGGTTCGATTCTGGCTCCGGCCTTCCTATGTGGAATTTGCATGTTCTTCCCGTGCCTGGGTGGGTTTTCTCCGGGTACTCCGGTTTCCTCTCACATTCCAAAAAACAAGCATGACAGGTTGGTTGAGCACTCTAAATTGTCCCTGGGTGTGACTCTGAGTACAAATGGTTGTTCGTCTTTGTGTGCCCTGCGACTGGCTGAGATTGCTTCTTTAACAAGCATGAGACTAGTCAGTTTTGTTCAAAACAGCAGAATTCATTTAACAGTATCATAGTTTTGTTTTTGTTTTTGCTTGCAGTGTAGTTTGCTCTACTGTAAAATATTCCAGCAGTGCGCTAATTGGCATTTTCCAGAATGTGGCGCCTTATTTAGCAGAGACAAAATATTAGAAACAGCTCTCAGGATGATGCTGTGCAATTTTTACAGCAGTGTGCAATAAAACTACAATAATGTCAATTAAAGTTAAACTTTGCTATCCTTGTAAGTGCAGGTGTTATTGTAGGGAGCTGTTAGATCTGAATGAAGTATGCATGTATACCTCATCACATTGATGATGAGGTATACATGCATACAAATGCATGTCTGTGAAAGAAAACTCTAATATTCCATCATCTGATTGATTATCACTATTATTTTGAACGAAAAGCCACAATTCTATCCTAAATACAGTTGCAAACGCAGACTCAGACATTGTGACATCACAAGTTTGCCCCTGGGAGCACTTGGGACTGCGACTAAAGCTGTCGTCTAAAACCATCTGGCCTTAAAGCCATTAAACGCTTAGGTGGGTGACACAATGAACTTTTGTCCTCGTCCCCAGTCGTCGTCATCATCATATTTCTCTCAGACTCCCTCAGGACCCCTTAATCATTCAGAACAAAACTGCTCGCTTAAACAGCGTACATTCAGCCAGGGGCGAAGGGATTGATTGATTCATGAATTGATTAGGAGCTGTGTCACAAATAGAATTGACGTGTAGGAAACGTCCAGGCAAAGTTCAACAATCAGTTCATCGTTATTGTGCGATATTAATTGATGTTGGCGGGAGCGTGTCGCAATTGAAATCGTACTGAGTGTCAGATCACAAACCTTGAGTGCATAAATAAATAACATATAGAGACTCAGGAGATCATCAACTGGGTCCTGCCTGTGTTACGGTGATTGGCCGACATTAAATTTCAGTATTCGCATTGGTAAAATGATCGTTAAAGTTGCTCTGAGATTGAGACTTTTATTGAGAAATGTGAACAAAAGACCAAGGTGGTAAACAACGGCACTATATTACAGTACCGTCCATCCATTAACCCAATTTCTATTCTTCTCCACACAAGGGTTGCGGGCATGCTGGGGCCTATCCCAGCAGTCTTCGGGCAGTAGGCGGGGGACACCCTGAACTGGTTGGCAGCCAATCTCAGGGCACACAGAGACAAACAATCACAATCACACCTGTTGCATGTTTTAGGACTGTGAGAGGAAACCGAAGTACCCGGAGAAAACCCGCGTAGGCACGGGAAGGACATGCAAACTCCACACAGGAAGGCCGAAGCCGGAATCGCGTTTAGCCAAATATCAAGGTTGTCCGTCTGGAAACTGAAAGACCTTGGCGTGATAGGATTGCTGTCAAAAGTGCTTTTGTATAAATTATTCAAGGCACCTTTTGCCGACTTGCTGCCTGGGACACGTGCAGACTGTTAGGTGGATGCTTGTTCACCTGCACTCACCACAAACATCTTCTCCACTCTAGCGATGATCTTTGCAAAGATGGTGCCCAGCTGGTCGCCTACGCCGGCCAGGAGGAAACCGAAAAGTGGGATGCCCAGCAGAGCGTAGACGATGCAAAAGATTCTCCCGCCCTCCGTGTGAGGAGAGATGTTCCCGAAGCCTGGACAGAAGACGGAGAGTAGACTTCGGACCACGTTTGACTTCGGACCTCGAACAAGGTAGTTACCAATGCGTGGATGATGTACAACTTCCCACTGCTGGTGTTATATTCTTCTTTTCTGGAATGCCATTGAGTATTTATTTGAAACCCCTCTTAAGGTCTGTGTACTCGTACACACATTGTCTTCTTGAGTAAGAGAAAAGTAGAATGATTGGATCTTACTAGACGTGTTTTTCCAGTCTTGCCTTTTCGACACATTAGTAGAACAACTTTGGAATCATCGGAGGATAACTCCATCTTGCGAGTGAGGCAAAACTGTGTACTAGTTAACGTCTGCACAATACTAGTGTGACTCTTGAAGCAATAGATATTAACTAGTAGAATTATATAATGTCACATGACCCTATCATTAGCACCAAAATGCCCACTAGGAATTTTGTCTCACCAGTACATGTACACAAATCCCCCTTCCACGACAGAGGTGATGTGAAACCCGCAATATAATAAATACACCCTTGGCATGTTTTTACAGCATTTATGGCACTTAATTTTTTTTTTCCCGGTCTTTACACACACTTTAAAAGTAATACAGACACATTTGAGCACACAACATATTAGGAATGAGGAAGAACAACGGATAGCACAAAAATATTGTACAAACAGTGTAACAGTGTCCCAATCCCGCTATGTGTCAACAGTAAACAAATCCCATTTTTTCCAAAATAAGCTTAGCGGTAATTTACAGCGTTGTCAAGACATAGAATAAATGCTCAATCGGCTGTTGTTTTTTTTAAAAACGGTGCATCCTCAACTTCTGATGGACTAATTCTTGAATATACACTAAATGACAACATTCGGACACATTCAGGAAGTCGGCAACCGCAAATTGAAACGGTAGCGGCAGACGTTTGCGCTCAGTGTCCTTAAATGAAAACTAACAAAAGTGGAGAAACCGAGTCAATAAGTGGAGCAACTGCCATTGTACTTGCAATGTCGTAATTGCATTGCAATCAGCTGCAGCAAAAGAAATTTTACAGTTCGTAGAGAATAGAGAGGGATGGGGGCGGGGGAAAAGGATAAAAGCAGGGAGTAAAAGAATATCGTGCACACACACAAAGACTAAACGTATGGTCATGAGAGCGCCAAGGTGCACTAGTTTGATTACTTGCAGGAAGCAGATGGAAGATCGATGACAAAAGCAACAACCTCAAAGTCTTTGTTACATAACAGCTCATTTGGGGAGCGCGCGTGCACACACACACGCACACGCGGACGCACGCACGCACGCACGCACGCGTCTAGCACAGTTCAATATATAACCTCCAACCCTGATCGATGGCAATCTTACATGCAATCTTATGTAACAGTTAACTGTGACAGTTAACAATAATGGATATGTTTATTAAAAAAAAAAAAAAAAACAGTAAAAACACACACACACGTGCACATAAACATGGATTGTGTGCGTGTGCGTGTGCGTGTGCGTGTGCGTGTGTGCGCATCCTACCAATGGTGGTGATGACAGTCCCGGCAAAAAAGAAGGCGGAGCTCAGGTCCCACAGGCTGCTGGGATTGGCGAGCGTCCCGGCAGGGTTCACTCCCGAGCGGATGGCTGCCACGACTTGCTGAAGGTAGAAGGAGAGGCAGACAAAACTTGAACTCACAGAAAAAGTCGGAAAAGTGTCTTGAGAATGCGGAACACCGCAGTGGAAAGTCTGATCGAATAATGTGATAAAACAACGGGCCTCCTCTCTTGTAAAATAACTGTTTACTACAATATAGCCATTGTTATTCTTTAAAATTTTCACTGTACAGGTCATAACTTATTTTTACACTTGCAAGACGCTGAAGAATGTAAAAAAAAAAAAAAAAACACAAAGACGACGCAAATTCTTAAGAGCTATGCCTCTGTTGTCAAACGGTGAGTGTCGTATCTTATTGATATCGTCTAAAGTCTGAAACATGGAAGAGATTGACTTTATTTCCTTCCAAGAATTTCCAACAGGGAAAATGATCATTAATACAAAACGCTGGAAGTCCACCAGCTTCTCGGAATACATTTTTTTAACCCTCACAGGTTCCACCCTCTGAGAAAGTAATGAGCTGTCCAAGGTGCTGAAACTACGACAGCGGCAACACACATAGTGGACACACAATTTCAAGTCTACACATCCTGTTTCATTGTTTTGCTGTGATCTCAAGAAATGTGACCGATATAAAATCAGTTCAAAACTTCATCCACACTTAATGTGACCTTTAGCCACTACAATCGATTAAAAACAAAACTTACATAATTTCAAGAGGTGAAGAAAAAATGAACAACAGAGATGCAGTTGCACAAGTGTGCACACCCTCTTATAATTGGGACGGACGTGCCTGTGTTCACAATCAACTAATCACATTCAAACTCGTGTTAAATAGGAATCAATACACGCTGGCCACAATTTGAAGTGCCTCTGGTTAACCCCAAATCAAGTGCATTTCTTGCATTGTTGTAGGTAAGGTGGTTGTTCTTTTGGTGGTGGTGTGTTTGTGTCAAACATACCTTTTGGAATTCTGGCCACAAAGTACCACCTCGGTTTTAATTAAATCTCAAAACATTTTCTCACTTGCATTTGGAAGGGTTGAAGTGTGGTTTTTTTTTCTTCATTTGTCTTTGCCACCAGACCCTACAGCCCAGACATTTGAAGAAGATGGGAAATGGATGTCACGTGTATCAAGCAGCCAGTACTTGCCGGAAATTCCTTCATCTCCTTTGACGTAGCTGTCGGCCTCCTGGCAGCCTCCCAGACCTGTTTTCTTATCATGAATTGTGGAGGGATGTCCAGTTATTGGTAATCTGTCGCGTCATAATTTCTCCACTGTCGTCAATATGTTCCATGGTATATTTAAAGCCTTGGAAGTTTTTGTACCCTTCTCCTGTCCGATACCTATAAACAGTGAGATCTCACTGATGCTTGCTGAAGTGCTCTGCAGATCGTGGCTTGTGCCACGATCGTCCATATGTCAGGAAAAGCTTACTAGAGCAACTGAAGTCTATCTAGGGTTATTCAGAATCCCTTTCAATGGTGGCAGGTGTGTGCTGGCTCACTTTTAACATGAGTTTAATTGTGATTGGTTAATCTTTTCAGTTTCCAGTGTACCGAATTATCATTAAACTCAGATTTTTTTTTCTCATAATCAGTTGTAAAGATTAGAGGTCACATTAATGGTGGAAACAGTTTTGAAGTGATTGATTTTCATATCACATCTCGTATTTGAATAGTAAACATTTCGTATCTAGTGCATATCGACACAGATGAATATATTTCACCTTAACCAGATCCTCCAGATGACTGTGGTTGACGCAGGGGTGTTTGGCCAGAAAGTCCAACTTCTGGGTCAAGATGGCCAAGCGTTGAGCACTGATGGAGAAAGAAGGCGACAGTATTTGTCACAACCTGTCACCTCATTCGTCTGCGTAGACACACTTAGAAATGTTTGCTTGTGGGCTACCAAATCCAATTATTTTTGACTTTGTTTAATCGCTGGAGAACATGTGATTTATTTTGCCCAACCCCACAAACCATGCAAAGTGCCTGAGTTGAAATGTCAGCATTATAAACGACTGCAACTTTCAGGGATGGTTATGAAACAGCAAAGACCCGATTACTGCTACAACTATTTCTACAATCGGTATTTTGACTGTAGTAGCTGGAAGTGTGTGGCTGGGCTTTATAGTTTATGGAAACAGTTTCTAGACAGCACAGCCCCTCCTCAAAGGTTTTGAGGCCTTTCTGAAAGAGCATAGTTTTGCGCCAACCTTCTACTTGGCTTTTTAACAAAAATGCAAGAGGAATTTAAAAATTCCACGTTCTTGAAGGTTCTTGAAAAAGTACCGTACCATACTGAGAGCATTTTTAAAAAGCTTATTCAGTCTGGGAGTGGGCCAATAGTTCAATTTAATAGCACAAACGTATTAACGTAACCCATTTTTGCAGGCCGATTTTTAATGGTTTTTACCTCTCATGAGGCTGTTCCAGAGACCTGAAAACGGCCGCTCCCATCACCAGGTAGAAGACGATTAAAAGAAAGATGGCGGTCACCGTCTTCCTTTTCATCACCGTGGCAACCACCTGCAATACTTCAACTGGTCAGTCAACCAACACGTGCGCGTGAAAGAAGGTAACGAACAAAAGCGTGACGGCGATTTGGTGGCCTCCCACCTCGCTCTCCTCTCGTGGAGTCAGCGTGATGGACTTTGTGGAGAAGGAGAGGCGGGGCTTTGTGTTGTGAGTGGCCGCTTTGGGGTCCAGTAAGTCTGGAGCTGCCACTGTCAGGGGGGATGAGGATGGTGGGGGGGGGGGGGGGGGAAAAAAAAAAAAAATCGCCCGGAATTGGTGTTTCCCCCC